TACAGCTAAGCTTGGCCTTTACCAAGAAGACTTTAGTCAGGAACAATGAAAGTGACATGAGTGCAAACAATAGTAGCAGCAGTAGAATCAGAGGCTGGTAAAAAATACATTTCACTGCATATTGTACCATATATAAATGTGTATGTGACAAACAAAGCTTATCCTATGTTATCACTGATTATGTTTCTTCAAGGAGCTGGATATGAACAAAGACAAACCGCAGTCACCAGGGACACAACATCTACTCACAGCGGAGATTGCACTTCTCAGTCAGGGAGATACGCAGGTAGCTGTGCCTGCGGCCAAAGTTGTCAGTCAAGAACGCTGAAAAGGGTAGTATGCTGTCGTCTCTTAGTCTCAGCTGGGGATGAAGGAAAAAAAAGATAAAAAACACCATGTTACTGATCTGACGCACAGAAATAGAGGACAATGAGGAGCACCGTTATGTCTCATTTTGCATCCTACGCTATTCTTTCTGTTAAAAATACACATTTATCAGCACATCCTCAGTCATGTCTTGTCAAGGATGTGAGGCTGAATCTGTGATTCTGAAGCAGAAAGCAATTAAACCACATGTAGGTTTTGTACGGTAAGAAAGACTACAGCCATACTCTGTGTAAAGCAAACACCATTGTGATAATTCTGAAGCGATCATATTTAATTCAGAGTATCAACACATCAGAAGGATTCTCTAAAACAGTCCTGCTGTGGGAGCTGCACGTGGCTTTAAAAAAGCCTCCTGACCTTTGACTGTCAGCAGTGTGCCGCTGTTACGTCAGAAGCTATCAGCACAAAAGTAAGCATGTGACCTGGCACTAAGGTAAACGCACTTAATTAATTGCAGAATACAGCTATTCATCTCTGTTTACTTTAGTGTGACAATGCAGTAATAGGACAATAGCTTAAGACCACTGGCTCGCTCAATAGAGCTGCAACCAATGATTATATTTATTTTTGATTACTCTGCCTATCACTTTCTTAATTAATTAGCTGTTTTAGTCTATAAAATGTCAGAAAATGGTGAAACATGTGAATCAGTCTTTCCCAAAGTCCAAGATGACAAATGTCGTGTTTTGTCCACAACTCAAAGATATTAGGTTTATTGTCACACCAGAAAATACTTGCACTATTGTTTTTATGTGTATTTTTATACATATGCTTGCACAGTTTTTTATATGTACATTTTTCTGTCTAGTATGTGTGTACTGCTGCTGACAACACTGTGAATTTCTCCACTGTGAGATAAATAAAGGCTTATCCTAAAATATTCAACTGTAGATATTTAACTTGAACAATTGCTCAAGCTGCTAAAGTGATTATCAAAATAGCTGGCGAATAGTTGATCACTGATCAACTAATTCCCAAAGCCACATAATTGCTTCAACAGTAGTCACTTTGTCTTAGAGTGAAATGCTTAAATGGTTTTGTAAAAATCTTTTTCTTCTTGCAGTCACTGGGAAGACAAAGCAACTAGCTGAACAATGGCTGTGTCACTGCCATGTCCATGTTATCTGTATTAGCCTCCAGATAAGATAACATTATGTTGGGTGGATGTGTTTTGCAGTGTGGAGCTGCAGCAGGTCTGCCGCAGTGACAGAGGACAGGTGAGCTGCTCACAGGCTCAGTGCAGGATCTAGTTCTCCTCAGGTAAACTTTGGTACCTCTGTAAGGACTTGACCGTGAAGACAACTAACCCCTACAAGGCCTCTGTACTTTGCAGCCCCTCTCTGCTGACCTGTTAGCTAGTCTGGCCTCTCGTGGGCCCTGACATGGACTCTGTTACAAACTAACACAACTTGACACCTTACAAACCTTCAGTCATTAACAAACGTTAGCTGGTTGTAGCCTGTGGTTGCACAATGACGGTGCAGCTCCAGGTTTAACTAGTCAGCAGTGTGTTGAGTCGGTATTACCTTTCTTGACCCGGTACTCTGAGGTGCGGTGAAGTTGGGGGCAGTTAACGCCGGGTCTCCGAGTTCAAGTTCATTTTCTTTGTGCGTAGCACCGGGATACATCCGCTGGCTGCTCATGAAGAGTTTCCTGACATTTCTTAAACCGCCGGCTCTGTCCAACCAGCGGCAGCACATGCTAACGGGAGAGGCCATGGTGTTCATGTGTGACAGCTCCACGGTCCTCCGGAGCTGTTCACGGAGTTCCTGTGACGGCTGTTCTGCGGTAAAACATGTCAGTTCAGCCGGACGCTGGAAGGCATCGGGGCGGGGACACGTCCACCAATGACAGCAGACGTAGGGCGTGGTGCACTCTGGGTAGTGTAGTGTAGAGGACCGAGAAAACAAGAGCAGTCTTTCTTTACAGAAACCACCCATAAAACTGTTACTGTGGGATTTTATTTTGCTACAGATTTACTTATATTTTAGGGACAGACCAATTATCAGCCAGGTCGATTATCGTGGCTGATTATTGGTATGGGTATGTTTAAAGACATGATTATTAAATGTGCTACTTCAGGTCTAATGCAGCCACCTCTCTCTGTCTGTAATCACTCTGATCTCAGAAATGTTTCTCAAGCAGACACTGCAAAAACTGAACAAGAAACACAAGCTGTTGCCACAAACCAGGAAACTAACTATTTTCACAGTGGCTAAGGCTACGCTAACAGCTAGCGGCTAAGTTAGAAGGCAGTCACAAGTTATCCTGAAACAGAGTCTCAAAAACAATTATTATAGTTACCCATCAATGGGCAACTGTAGAGCAATCGTGTTTGTGTGTGTGTGTGCATGTTTTTTGTTTTTTTAACAATCTAGCTCTTCTCAGGAGAAGAGTTTCAATCTGAAACTTCGTATATGACCTCGGTATGGTCCCTTCTAGGAGTGATTACATTTTGTAGTCAATACAGCAACAAAGGTCAAAGGTCGCATTTCCCAAAAAAGCTCTGTATGACTGAAAAGGCACAAAAAGACATAAGTTTAGTATACTAACTTAAGAAGACATTTGAGGCCTATAAACAGGTGATGTGACCTTGAGACAAAGGTCAAGGTCACACGGATCTCCTAAATCATCACAAATTTTAAATCCATTATAACTTGGAAAAGGTGTAAGGTAAACTCTTAGTTTCTTACTACAATCAGATAGGAACCCATACTGGTGATGCAACATTTGACCTTGGACGAAAGCTCAAAGTCAAACTTAAGGTCATAAATCTTAGATGCTTAGCTGTCGGCGTAAACTACAGAAAAGTGCTTCCACTCAATGCAAAATATCTGTTTTACATGATGGACTAAGCTCTTGTTACATTATGTATCATTTGTAGGCAAAATCAAGGCAAGTTCATCCTTAAGTAGGTGCACAGGACAACACAGAATCAGGTTAACATTCATACATTGGGCAACTATGTCCCTCTACTGAGGATCTCTGGTTAATAATGCTTTCTTTCAAATTTAAACACCCCTATCTCGAGTTTACATATTAATTTATACTCATCCTCATCAATGAAGAAACCTAACTATAAATGACAGGTTCTCCGCTACCACATGCTGTTAAAACATTTCATTTAATGTATATAGGCTCCAAATATTGGCTACCGGCCTTTCTTTATTACCACTGATTGACACCCTAAAAACCCATACTGGTCGATCCCTAGAATATTTCATGATAAATTTTCTTTTTATTCAGTCACACAAGGTTCATCTGAGCCCCTTGGTGACCCTCGTAGCTGCCTTGTGTGTCTGTTCAGCGATCCAACCTTGCACATCCAACCTTGCACAACATTGGAATTTCTTGTGTTGTAGATGCACACATGCAGCTGTGTGTACAAGGACAAAGGTTTGGTGAAGTTAAGACTGAAAAAATTTCAGGACGACCTTGTCTGTGGAATTGAATCCACTCTTCTATTCTACTTCATTTAATGTTAATATATAATTTGTAGTTAACTGGATTTAAAAGGCCAATTTTGTATTTTCAGACCGCGTTAGACTTTTTATAACTTGAGGCACTCTGATTTAAAAAGATGAGACGACAGTAAGTACTGAGAGTTCATTCAAAGTTCATGTGAAATAAAGTTAAGAAAGAAAGCCAAGTACACTGTAAAATGTGAGAAGTTGATCTTACTTCA